CAGGTCAGTGCTGGCGGTGGATTTGGCTGAGGCAGGAGAGAGTACAGGGTTGAACTGTGTGAAGATTGCAGTACATTCCTTCCAGAGTGTCCCCAGGTGAATACAGAGGAGTTTCATCAGCAGTGGAGACTTGGGTTTGTTCCTGTCATATTGTCATCCATAACCTTCTCGGTCTGTCTTATCTGTCCCACTGTGTCTCACCTCCATCTTCCAAGGCAGAGGAGGAGAGGGATTTTCCTCCATCACAGTCCTGTAGCAAGTCAAGGATTTGTGCCTGATTTGAGGTGCAGGCTGTCTCCACATACTTCCCACTTAGGTTCTTCCATAAGGGTGCTGACCAGCTTTCTCTGGCTTTTCTTTGTTTGGGTTTTAGTCAGACTTCTGCAGTTTGATGCATCTGGTGAAACTGGATTTGAGTAAAAATCGGTTGCAACAGCTGCCCTTCGACTTTGGCCGCCTGGTGAATCTGCAGCACTTGGACCTCCTGAACAACCGCTTGGTCACCCTGCCAGTCAGCTTTGCACAGCTCAAGGTAAAACTGTTTGCTGGGCAGTTACGTAAAGCTTTGGGATGCAGCCCAGGGTCTTGTGATCCTGCTCAAGTTGATTTCTCTGGTAAAGCATCCATCCTGCTGACTACCCATTTCAAAATTCAGCTGGGTCTGCACTGCAGCCCCGTAAAAATCCTCTCAGTCTATTGAAAACATCTCTGCTCATCTTCTCTACCTGTTTCATTAATGTGAAAACTAAGCAGTTCTTTCCTTCTGCTTTGGATCTCTTAATTAATTCCAAGACTGCTGTGCTCTTACAGCCTCCCCTTTGTTGTGCCTTTTTGCAGAACCTGAAGTGGCTGGATCTGAAGGACAATCCCCTGGATCCTGTCCTGGCAAAAGTAGCAGGAGACTGTCTGGATGAGAAGCAGTGTAAGCAGGCTGCTGTCAAGGTAAGGAGTCTCGTTTTATTCTAATTTATTTTTTTCCTTTCGTGGCTTTGCCAGTGATTCTTCCTCTGTTTGCTTAGCAAGCTGGGCAGCAGCTGCAGGACCCTGAAGTTTCTTCAGGGAGTGAGGTGCAGGTCCACTGCACTGACTCCCCTACTGCTGTGTCTGTGGAGAGCAAACACCTGACTGAGGAGGATGCTTCTCTATTTGTGGAGTTAAGAGAGGATTAAATGCTGGTTGCCAAGAAAGGAGGCATAATCAGACATAGTAATCCATGCTTGTGCTGATAGTACAAAAACCTCTGGAGAAGTTTTGGCAAACATAAATAGAAATGTTCTGTGATCCCCTGAATCACTGAGCACCAGTTTGCCATGTTTGTTTTTAATGCGAAGATTTGTTTTTTAACAGAGACTCACATAAGTTGTGAGTTCTTTTCAGAGCCATAGCTGTAGGGATAGGTGAGGGTGGAGGGTCAGCCCCAGCTGCCTGTCCTCAGCCACGCTCCATCTGTTGTGTTCTGAACTGACTGTGCTAGTAGGCTTCTGCACAGCCCTCAGGTTGTTTTCTTGGCTATTTCAGGTACTGCAGCACATGAAAGCAATCCAGTCTGAGCAAGATCAACAACGGCAGCGGAAACTCCAGGCAGAGAGAGGTAGGGACAAAGAGCCCCCACGCGCTGTCTGCTGAGGACTGCTCTTGGTCTGTCTAACACACCCAAACATTCTGATCACCATCTAATAAATTGTCATCTAACACGTACTTGTAGCCACCTAAACCCAAAGTACTCAGGGAATAGTAGGGTAAAAGGGCTGGAGGGAGAAATATAGCAGGGGGGTAGTGTATGTGATTTCTTGGCCTGAGGAATAGTTAAATCTCTAGAAGGAATGTGCTATAGGTTACCTATAAACCATGAAAGAAAAGCACAGCAAAATGCAAGGTATGTAATACTAAATAAAATGATAATAAAAGAGGATAGTTGTTTAATTGGTTTCCTCATTCCAGTTGGGATAGTAAGGTAATAAGGAAAATGGCAGTGACAACACTTTGCATAAAAAGGAAAAACTTGCTGTTAACCCCCAGAAATGGAGAAGAAGCGTGAAGCAGAACAGCGAGCAAAGGAGGCTCTGGAGAGAGAACTGCGGAAGCGAGAGAAGGCAGAGGAGAAGGAGCGCAGAAGGCGAGAGTACGATGCTCAGAAAGCTGCAAAACAGGAGATGGAAAAGAAAACTAAAAAGGAAACAGTGCACACCCGAAGTAAGTAGTGTCTGTTTTGGGTGGGATTGTGTCAGGTTTCATTGTCATTAGATTGTGATGCTGCCAGAATTGCTTTCATGCAGCCCAGGTACTGGGGGACTGGAAGATGGTGGGAGAGGGTAGAGTGGAACTTACAGGAGTTCTCATAAACTCTGCTGCTGTGCCCTTTCCCCCTTTTCCTGTGTTACCATGATCTGTAAAGCTGCAAGTCATGAAGTTCTCCAGCTGTTCCTAGTGAGAACTTCCCTTCACTCATTTTTTTCTTAAGTCTACTTAGCTACATCTGCTTAATCAGATCTTGTGCAACACAGAGGTGCTTTACACCTCCTTCACTGCTGCCCATGAAACTGGATCTGAAACTTTTCATTCTAAGCAGTTACATCCTGCACATCTACTTATTTATCAGAGCTAAGTGATGAAAATTCACAACAAAAGCCAACTGCAGCAGAGGATTAAGTATCTTACCTGAACAGTTAGTTTGTGAGCATAGCCTGTTGTCGCTGATTCCTTGCTCACATTGTGTCCTGTTCACGTTCTCACTGCAGAGCCGGCCTCCAGCTCCCGTCCCCCGCAGCCTGCCCGGCACAAGGCCTCGTGGTCGCGGTCAGTGCTGAGAGTGCTGCTCCTTGTGCTCTTCTGCATCCTCTGTACCCTGGCTGCCTGCAAGCTGACGGAGCTGCAGCATCAACCTCTGTGCGTCAGCGTCAACACCCTCTACGAGGACGTGGTGGCTGCTCTGCAGAACCACAAAACCCTGCAGAACATGCTCCAGCACAACTCGCACCAGTGATTGTCCTGGGTGGGCGCTTGCTTCATCAGCATCTCCTTCCACCATCTACGCAGCCAGAATTCCTATGGAATTGTGTTCTGATGAAACTGCTTTGAACCAGTCAGCGTTAGTTTGCTGGTCCACTCCACAGAGCAGAGCTATTGTTCAAACTGTCTTTGTTGTGCATGTCTCTCAGTTGGCCTGTAACTCCCATTATTTGTGCACATTAACCTAAACTTGTTACCACTCCTTGCTTCCAAGTTGTGTCCACCAGGATCGTGAGGCACAGGAAGCTGACAGTCTATAGGAATGGGAACAAGCAGCCCTCACATCATCTGGGTGAGACAGCTGTAGCTCTGAGCTAGAGGTGGAAGGTTTTTAATACATATCCATTCCTTGCTCTCATTTCTGTTTGTGCTAAAAATGGTGGTATGGCTGTATGGGAATAATACAATAAGGCCACACTCCAGGACCAATTACAGGCATGTGGGATGGCTGTGCATCCTTGTGTTGGAGCAAAGAGGCTGATGTGCTATTGAAAGAAGCTGAAAATTTTCAATACAATAGTTTTCATGGCAATTTGTCTGAACTGGATGTTTATGTTATTAACATAGTTTTCATTTTAATTAGGCCTTTTAGGAACAGTCACAAATGATTGCCAAGTACATGGGAGTGATTCCTGCCTGCTGCAGCTGCAGAAGCAGCACTGGGCGGCGCTGTGGGAGCACTGCTGGCAGGAATGGGAAGCCTCGGGGCTGGGGAAAGGCCGGGAGGTTTGGTAGTTTGCATCTCAAAAGGAAAACTCACCTCTGCAATGGTCTGTGAATTATTTCGAATTTCCTTAAAAATTATTTCAAATTCGTTTTAAAATTTCCTTAACTCCCATCGAGCAGAAGTTTTTCATATCATTAAGAGCTTTGTGAGTTCTTAAAATGAAGTGCAAGTTTCAGAGAATATCTGTGCTACAAACTCCACTGAGACATTCTACACTGGTGTCCAGAATCATTCCCTCTTCTCACACCTATCACAGCATTAAACCCTCATCTTTCTGTAACCCAATGATAAGATTGTGGTTCCCTGAATATGGCCCAGGAGAGAGCAGCAGCACAAGTGTCAGATTAAAGGAAGGAAGGGGTGCCTCTGCCTCAGGAGGGTGCATGTTCTCAAAGCTTCCTTCAAACACCTTTAAGCTTTGCTTTGGGTGCCTAGCTCATCCCATTCTTTAAAAGATCCTTACCCTCTATCCCAGAATGTTCAGGAAAATTACAAACAGCATCTAAAGCAATGATTCGTCCATGCAGCCCTTCCTGCCAACATCCAGATGAGTGCTACATAGGTTGGTGAGCATGGGCTTGTACAATTTATAGATTGGGGTTAGCAGCACTTCTGGTCGGGCCAGGGCTCCAGCTGGGTGCCTAGAACAAGCAGGGCAGGTAGGGATTTTTCCACTGGAGACAGCAGGGTTCCAAAGAGTTAACTTCCACCCATGGGATGCAGTTTAATTCTCAGCAATGCTGTTACAAAAACCCTCAACTGTCCTTGTGTGCACACAAGTGCTGATGGCTGCATGGACAGGCCGTGGTCCCCAATCTAATTAAAAGGAAGCTTTTTCTGCCAACTGTTTAGACCTCATAATTCCAGCACATATAATCAGATTTCAAGACCTTCTGTAGATTAGGCTGTCTGGAGACTGAATCAGAGCACTCTAAACTTGTATCTGAAAATTAATCTTACTCATTCCCATCTGCTACAGCGGAACAATGAGAGGCTATTTGCAAGGTAAAGTTCTTTCACCTCGCTAGAGCAGGTGCTGGGGGCAGCACCATGTTGCTCCAGCTTCAGGATTTGTCCCAAAGGAGGGAGAAGGTGAGTCCTTGCAGTTCAGGAGAGCAACAGGAAGCATTCCTTTTAACAGAGGACACACCTGTCTATATTCAAGACGCCATGTTAAGAAGCAAAGGTTATTCTTCAAAATTATTTATTTTATAGAAAGACAAATAAAACAACATCAGTACTATAAGCTGTGTGCAACTCACCACCTTTCTTGTGTAAACTCCTGCTATTCAGCAACTTTATCCAACTTTTTTCCTTCTACAATAAAGTCTTAATGTGTTTCAAGTCTTTAAACAGGGATCATTGAGTGTTATCTAAGCACTTCTTCACAGAAGAAAACTGAAAACTTGACCAGACAAATGGTAAAAACCCTTATTCCCTGGAGCTACCCAGTGAAATCCAAAATGGAACACTTAACTGAACAGTACAACCCTTTTTCCCTGTGCTAGCCAGTGAAATCCAGGCAGAGGTCGGGGTTGTGGGAAGTCATGTGCAGGTAGATGCGGCGGGACAGCTCGGGCCCGATGCGGCGGGCGGTGGCCGTGACGCCCTCGCCGCGGTGCACGGCGATGTTGGCCAGCATGTTCTCCCGCTCCTGCTCCGAGGAGCACCGCTCATAGGCCTGCAAGCAACAACAATGGCATCACCCACTTGCATCCATTGCTCAGAAAACCAATCAAAGCTGTGCACCTGTACCTGCTCTGCCCTTCCACAATGTCCACTCATTTTTCACTTGGTCTCTGCCCAAGTCCCATCTGTGAGCTTGGAGAGTGAAGCCAGTGCTGCTCCCTCAGTGGGAGGCCAAGGATTCGGTTCCTTCGCTAACTTACTGAACCGCTCATGCAGAATCACTGTGTCTAATTTAATACTGATTAAATTATTTCTTCCACTCCCTGGCTGCCTGCACACAGTGCTGGGTTGTGGAGAGTTTTGTCAAAGAGTGGCTTGAGGAGAGAGGACACAGCCGAATTGATTTGGTAGAGATGTCCTAACTAGGGCAGAGGCCTTTTTGCAGGCAGGGTGTCTGTTGAGAAAGTAGCAGGCTAAAGAATGGAAAAGTACAAGACAGTGGTTAATTCCAAATCTTGCACTTGCAAAGATAACGTGTCCTTGGGCCTAGCGGAGGATGATAAAGAAATGGACAGCAAGGTGTGAGAAGTAGAGAACGTGGGCCCAAAGGAATGTGGATGAGTTAATGGTATAGTTTAACCAATAGATTGCTTGGCTTACAGAATATTCATGAGCTTATTATTTGCTGTATAAGTGTTTGATGCTTTCTTTAATAAACTGGGCCTGTGATGAACCACCTGGTGTCCTGGTCCCCTTCCTACGACACTGGGTATCCCTGAGGCATCCTCACCTGGATCAGAAGCTGAGGAGAAGGGTAGGCAGACACAATAGCCTCAGCCATCTCGGAGCTGACACGGTTAAATTGCTGTATCTGCCTCTTCCAAACTTTCAAGAGACCCTTTCCAGAAGGATCCACCTTCACCCCTCTGCAACAGTCCTTCTCCAAGTAGAAAGAGAACCCTGTGTTCTCTCGCTCTCGCCTAGGGAGAACAAGGAATGAGGAAGCAAATGAGACAATGAGGCTGTGAAGAAAATCCTGTCCCTGCCATCTGTTGTCACAGAGCCAGAGCGCCGTCCCTTACTCGAGCTGTCAGAGACACAACTGGCATCAAAGGAAACATGAATAATTTGACCCTGTTTTTGTTACATGCACTAACAATTTCTTTAAGACCCAGATTGCTCCTGAAATATAAACAATCCCATACTCAGCAGCAATCCTGACACAAGCCAACTTGCAGACAAAGTGGTAAACAAGAATTCACCTTCTGGCTGTCAACCATAACAAAGCACTTTTAGATGTCATTTTTAATGACAGCTCATCTCTTGTCATGGCTGACATGAAAATCCAGCAGCTGCTGTGACAGGAATGCCAGGATTGCGTGAGACTGTGCAAGATGGCTTTCTTAGCTATCACTGTGCAACGAGCTGCTGTCCTCCCTCATCAATGGAAAGAATCAAATGGTTCATTCTCAGGCATGTCTCTTCATTACACACTGAAGAAGAAAAGCTGGCACTCTAAGAGCCAACCCTACTCGCATTGCCTTCCCACTCCAAAAATCTGACTCAGAACAAGAGCTCTACTTGATGTCAAGGCTCCAGTGTGAGAGCTGAAGGTAGTGAGGCACCAGAATAAATTGCCCAAAGAAGCTGCAGATACTCCAGGAAGTTGCAGATAACCCATCCTTGGAAGCATTCAATGTCAGGTCAGATGGAGCACTCAGCAGCCCAGGGGAATGGAAGATGTCCCTGCCCATGGCAGGGGTTGGGTTAGAAGATCTTTAAGGTCCCCTCCAACCCAAACCAGCCTGTGACTATGAAACCAGGGTTTGTCCTGACCCCTCTCTGGCCAGGACATCAATTTCAAGAACAAGTCCTTTGTTGGAGGAGCTGCAAGAGCAGATGCTCTGCCACCTGCACCTTTAGGAGCCATTGTACCCTGTGTTGTACCTGCTATTCCTTCCCAGTAGCTCAAAGTGCAGCCTCTCCAAAGGCAGGACCAAATCTCCTCTGCTTACTCACTTGTATGGTGCTTCAGCCACAGCTTTGGTGAACATAGTGGCATATTCCCCAAGCTCCTCACTGCTCTCAAAAATGCTGATTTGGACTTGTGTGCTCAGCTGCAGATCCACCAGGGCCTGTATCACCAATGGGAACAACAAATGGCACAATCAGTCTTGCTGCATCAAATTCCATATTTGTCTGAAGCAGAAAAGGGTCACAAACGTCCTGCTGTAGGACAAGAACCTTCACTCTCCATTTTGGGAACAGTTAAGACACTGAAATATTTAGGGGCAGTCTGTCTCCTGACAGTTAATATCACCTCAGTGTCCTCTAAGCTGCCTCAGCTCCCCTGTGGCTGTTGTTATGAACAAGCCACCACCAGTGGCATTGGCCAATGGGCCATGAAGGGCAAGAGGTGCTGTGGCTGCCATCAGTGTCCAGGAGAATGAGACACATCAGTCTCTGTGGGAGCAGGCACATGACTGAGCAGTGGGAGCTGAACCCAGAGAGCTCTGTCCATAGACTGATGGACAAATGAATAAGGAAAGCCACGTACTCCCATGTACAAAATTGTGTGACTGGGTCAAATGTTCAAATACTGGGAGACAACAGATGATGGCTGCATGTGTTTTAAAAGCACTCACTTCTTTCACATCCATTCTGGATAAGTCCAAGCTAGAATCCTTAGCTTCCTTTTTTCTCCTTTCTCCCCGTTTCTCTTGATTCCCACTTGCTGCTGTCTGTCGCAGCCTTTGTTTGGGCTGAACTTGGAGAGACCTAGAAAGAGTCAAGTAAGACTGGGGTGGCAGTCTGGATGGACCTTTGCTTCTGTTTCTGTACAAAAAGTGGTGGAGCAGTTCTGGGAATACCTCTTGTACTCCAGTCTTTGCTAGAAGGAATTAACATAAACACCTATGGCATTTTTCAAGGCCAGAGAAAACACAGAAACATTTGGAGGGAAGAATTCTGACCTGAAATAATTTTCTACTCCAACTACTGCCAGAGCCAGAATTCTCCCAGGCATTTTCTCCATCATATGAGCCACATAGCTCTGCAGGGTCTCCTTCTGCCTCTCTGCACAGCCATCAGCGTTCTACAAAGATGGATGGGAAACATAAGGAGTTAAACAATGTTGAGGTATACAGAGAAGCACAGCAAATTTTTGCTCTGGTTGTAGGTCTGAAGAAAGAAGGAAAAAAAAAAATAAACTCACTTGATGTAACAATGTAACTCTTCAGAGGAATGTGTGAAAAATTTTAACTAGTGAAGAAAGCTTGTCAGAACTTTACATTATACAGCCCACTAATGGCTTCTACACCCAGATTTCTGTTTCAGTGAAACCCTGCATTCCTCCCACACCAAAACCTTCCTGCCACTAAGAGGGATGGCAAAACACTGGTTTTACATCAAGGCATGTTCAGGAACACAAAAGTCATAAGCATTCTCACTTGCTTGTAGCTGTGAGCCATGGACAAAAACTCCTCCAAGCCAAGCAGAACCAGAACATTTGGTTCTTCTGTCCATTCATCTCCTCCTCCCATCTGTTCAGATATGAAAACAAACAGGCCACAGTCTGTTTAGAATTCACTCAGACTCCCACTCAGATCTCTGAGCAGGGAAATTAGAGGGTGTTCACTTGGGTTGCTAAATACAATTACTACACAAATAACACATGAGGAAAAGGAGGAGATTATAAAAATTTTGCTCCCATACCTGTGATGTCACTGTCTTTCTCCTCCAGGTGATGCTGCAGGGAACAGCGTGGTTCTCAAACACACAGGAATAATTGGCAGCCTGCAAAGCACTAAGGATCTGCTCGCCACCTTCTACCTGTAAGATGACTGAAATCGATTCATGGGTCAGGCCTCCAGAGAGAGGAGACAACAGTCAGTACAAGGCAGCAGCAGGCTGTGAGGACAACTACCTGGATCCAGCACCACTGTTATGTATTTCTGGCACTCTCCTGGCCGCTGAGCTTTCAGCATCTTGGCAACGGCTCTCTTCCTCTCTTTCTCCTCCTCCTGCTTCCTCCTCTTTGCTTCTTGCTCTTTCCTTCTCTGCCATGCATTCTGGCAGATTGCCTCCCGTTCCTTCTGACTATATTGTCGCTTCTTGAGAGGGAGCGATGTTTCTGGCCTTTCTCTGCTTACCGGGGGGCTGCTAGGCCTGTCAGAGTCGACTGGCAAGGAGCACAAGGGGGATCTCTCAACCCTGCGTGTACCAGTCTCACTACCACAAGCTGCTTCTCCAGACGGCGTCAGGTCTTGCCGAAGCCCTTCGCTCCCAGGAGCCATCAGGTCACCACTAGCACAAATCCCAGATGCCTCTCCCTCATCATCAGCGCCCAGGCTGAAGGGCTCAGGCTCCGCTCCCACCCTCATCTTGACCCTCTCGTGCAAAGGGACGACGTCCATCCCCTCTTCGCTCCCGCTGCTCACCATCTTGACAACCTCTGCAACTTCAGGCTTAGGAGATGGCGACCGCGGGCGGCTCGGCTCGCCGAGGCATGGGGACGGCTGCAGCAGGTAGGCGAAGGAGGGCAGGTTCTCCTCCTCGCTGCTCTCAGACCCCAAGTCGCTCTCCGCCATCTCCCCCGTCCCCTCAGGGGCACCCGAGCCCGCCTGAGGGGAAAGCCCGCGCCGGCCGCTGGTTGGCCCGGAGGCGCGTGCAGTGGGCGGCGATTGGTCCGAACGCCAGCGAGAGCGCGCGCTGGGACCAATCGCCGCCCAGCGAGCGCGCGTGCGCGTCGCCTTCCCAGCGGGCGGAGGCGGGGAGAGCGGCGCCATCAAGATGGCGGCGCTGGGACGGCTGTGTGAGTGCGGACAGTGAGGGCAATGCGGGCAGTGCGGGCCGGTGTCAGCTCGTTACCTTCTGAGGGCGGGAGCGGCGGTCTGGCCTTGGAGCGGGAGCGGGAGGGATGAGCTCGGGACAAGGTGCCCCAGGGAGGTCACCCCGCGCGACATCGGGCCCCTGGTGGGATGTCACCACCGATAGCGCGAGGCCGGGGCTTTCGCCTTTGCTTGGAGCTGAGGCGGAGCTGTGGTGATGGCGATGGGCGGGTTTGTGTGTGTGAAACTGTAGCTATGCTTCGTCTTGTCTGATTTCCTATAAATCGTCAAGTCCCGAAGGCTTTACTTAGTGGGTCATGTCCTGAAATTAATGGGGGTTTGTACCCTTTCCTCAACAGTATTTCATAGAATTATGGACAAGTTTGAGTTGGAAGGAACCTTAAAAATCATCGTGTTCCAACTCCCTGCCGTGGGTAGAGATGCCTTCCATTAGAGCAGGTGCCCTATCCAGCCTGGGCTTGAACATTTCCAGTGGTGGGACATTTTCCATTTAACCTAATTAAATCATCAGTATCCGTGATGATTTAATTAGGTTAAACTAGTGGTTTTGCTCAGGTTAAGGAAACAAGATAACCTCCGTTCTGCACTAACCTGCTGCTTAACGGGCTAAATAGAGGGATTCAGAAAAATCAGGTTTGTCTCCTACCTGCATAAGAGGTGGTACTGAAGAGATTTTTAAGATAGTGATGCCTTGGGTTGGGGGGCAATTTAAAGATCACCCAGTTCCTACCCCCTGCCATGGGAAGGGACACCTTTCACTAGACCAGGTTGCTCCAAGCCCTGTTCAATCTTAAGCACTTCCCTGAAACTGGGAGGATTAATGAAAAAAACTGTGCTCCAGACTCCCTTTTTGCCACTCCCACGGCTCTGTATTCCTTCTTAGAGCCTTTAATCATAGAATTACAGAATCATTTTGTTGGAAAAGACCTCCAACAAGTCCAACCTTTATACTCCTTCTGGGTAGTCCTCAGACTGTTTCTGGCTGGTCATAGATGTTTATATATTTTCCAGACTTGGAGTCTGCTCATTTGTAAGATTTCAGGATGTAACTGTGCGAGTGAGTGAGTGCCATTTGGTTAAAGGGGAAACTGAAATCACAACCCATCTTTTCTCAAAGCACTGTAAGAGCAATCCACAGCAAGCAATGACACCTGTGCTGCATTTTACAAGAATGAAACAGAAATTTGTGCACATGATTTAACATGCTCGCTGAGAGTTTGATTCTTATCTGGGCAGCAGCAGCATTTGAGATGTGGCCTTTTTTCAAGGAACTTAGGCCATTTTGGTCTGATTTATCTTGGAAGTACTTTTTGTTTCTCCCAGGGCTTTCCTTTGCCTTTAATTTTAAAGCCTCTCTTCCTTTACATCTGACAGAAGGAATTATGTATGATAGTTTTTCCAGCTGATGTCCTTTCTCCTAACCTAGTTCTGACCACTCACCAGCCAAGCCTGGTTGCTGTCAGATGGGCTTCTAAGAAAAGTGGGGGCAGCTCGAAAAACCTGGGTGGCCGCAGCCCGGGGAAACGCTATGGCTTCAAAAAAGCCGAAGGTAGGTCTCAGTTATTTGCATTTCACTGGGCTGTTCACAGCTTCTCTCGCTGATGTGTGTCAGTGGTTGAGTGTTTCAGGAAGGGGTGGGCAGGGCACTTTTCAAGGAGAAAGAAGGGGAGGATCAGTGAAACCTCCTGAGCAAGGGTTGGTGGTGGGAGGGCAGGGTGAGTCAGCTCCCCCCACCACGAGCCAGCCAAAATTGCCTACAGAAAATGTACTTTGGTTCTGACTTGGCCTCTCCAGAGAGCCCAGGAGGAGGGAACTCTGTGAGACACCTCATAACTGCACTGCACTTTCCCCCCACACCGAGTGGAAAAACTGAGCATTTCCAGTGTTTACAAAGGAGAGAATTACCAAGCTTAGCAGAAGCCAAAGTGCAGATTCTTGCAGTTGAGTGCTTAATAATTACTAGCTTTGCTGATGGAAACATTTCAATGTAAATGGTGGGAGGTTTTCAATTTTTTTTCCCCTTATAGGTTTTTTCCTTCTTTTCTTGTAGTTTAGGTAATAAAGTTGTCTTTATGTTTAAGCTGGAGCCTGCTTTGCTTATTCCTGGTCACATCTCACAGCAGACACCAGGGAGAAGGTATTCTCATGGGGGCACTGGCTCTGTGCCAGACCCAAACCATGACAATGTAGTAAAACAAATGCCTTCAGCAGCCAGAAAATGCCTTGTACCCTAGGAGCAATCTTTTCAGAGATTTGACTTTTTGCCACGGTCTGTCCATTGCCCTTTTATTTCCTGCTAACATCATTTTCGCTCAGATGCTTTTAACAGTTCAAGTAATTTTTCCTTAGAAAATGCCTACAAAAGCTGGGATTTGTCAGTGCCAGAATCGTTTGTGTTCTGCCAGGGCTCTGGGAGCTCTCTCTCTGCAGCCTGGCTGTGTCCCTCTGTTGCAGGTGCCTTTGTCCACGCAGGGAACATTTTGGCCACGCAGCGCTTGATCCGCTGGCACCCCGGCGCCCACGTAAGGCTTTTCTCTCTCTTTGGGTCTCAGAGAACAGCACTCCCTGAAATAAACAGGGCCAGGAGACTTCTTCGCCTTTTTAATGCCTGTATTATAAGTGATCAGCTCAGGATTGGGCAGCTCGGCGGGGCTGCAGTCCCCGTCGTGTCTCCCAGGGCGACCCAGAGGAGGAGGATATGCGCAGCTCTGTCCACTAGGGGCAGAGCTGGGGGATCACGTCCTCATGGGAGCCTTTAGGGTGTGATGATCCCTTCGCTGTTACTGTTCCCGGCCTCTTCCCGCCTGCTCTCAGCGCCGGGGACGACTCCCATGGTCAGGGCGAGAGGCTCCTAAGGTGTTCCGCATCTCTGCAGGCTCAGCACTCGGCTCCTCACATCCAGACATCACTCCAGTCTCTCAACTCTTATTTGGCTCGTTGTTTTTGGGGTTTTCTCCGTGCGTTTGGAGTCGGGGTCCCACACAGCATTCTGGTCTTGGAGTCACTTTGCATAACCCCCCCTCACCTTCTCAGGTGTCTTCACTATTCTGGGAAAAGTACACCTTAGCCTCGGGCAAGGCTCTGCTAATACAAAAGGAGCGATTAGCCACAAGGACCCGTGATCACAATAACAAAACACGCAGAACTTTGGCAGGGACAGTGATCTGGCTGCCGTTTTGTAACTTTTTCTCACAAAAAAAATATTAACCGAATTTTTGTTCATAACGCTCCCCCCTGAGCCCCACACTCACTGCTCCTCTCTCTCAGTCTCATTCTCAAAGCTCATCCCTGTGTGGTGTGGTGGTGGTCACAGAGCCTGCTCAGAGCCTCACCTGTGTTTGTGGGACTCAGGGAAGGTGTGCAGTGATTGCTGTCCCAGAACACTTCTGTGACCTGACTGGGCACTTGTGCTTCAGGCTGGAATGGGTGTCTCATGTCTCATACTGAGCACCATTACCAACTGGTTGCTGGAAGCAAGTTGTGTGGTTTTATTTTTATTTTAAAAAATAAAGCAACAGATGCTGTTGAAGCCAGGATATCAAACAAGGCAGACCAAAGATCAGATCTGCTTTAGTTGTGGATGTCCAGCCTCTCCTTTCTAATGCTCCTCATCCTGTCCCAGGTGGGGATGGGCCGGAACAAGACCCTCTATGCCCTGGAGGATGGCATTGTGAGATACACCAAGGAGGTCTACGTGCCCCCACCCCGCAGCAGCGAGAGCAGGGATGTGATCTGCCAGCTGCCCAAAGGAGCAGTCCTTTATAAAACTTTCATCAGTGTTGTCCCCACCACAGAGGTAGGAAGCTTCAAACTCGTCAACATGCTGTGAACCTGCAGTGTCACCTGGGCATGGATGGGAAGGACAGACCACTACAGCTATACTGGCACCTGAGGACAAGAGTGGCTCTGAAGATACCACTCTAGGATTTGGTTTTGTTCCTGAAGTGCCTGTGATCTGTGTTCAGGCACTCAGATCACCTGCTGGCATTTTTATGAGTGTTTAATAAATGCTGTGGGGCAGCTGAAGGTCTTGGCTGCTCATGGAATGTGTTACCATGGCCATCTAGAATCGGGAGAGCCTGGTCTGTTGTGCCATTGGATGAATTCCCTGTACAATCACTCTTGTGTCATAATAATAATAATATAATTCCCTCTATTTTTGCTCATTTTTAGTCATTACTGTTCTATTTGTACCTTAATTCACAATACTACAGAACAGATTTCCACATGCACCTATGCTGTGTACCTGGAAGCTGGATTTTTTTGCTCTAGCTCACTCACCTCAATGCTTAACTTAAATATCTGAGTGTGCCATTCACTGGCCATGTGAGGCAAGTTCTCAGGCCTAATTCTAACTCATTGCTGAGTTCAGGGGGCCTGGCAAGATGCCCAAATCTGGACTAGGATTTGAAGCCTCAGCAGCTGGAGGTGTATGATAAAGCATTATCCAGGACACTCATCCTTTTGAGTCATTATGTGACATTTTTGTATTGCTCAAAATAAAGGAGCCCCAATGTGTTGTGCCCAAACTGATCTCATTTTATCTACAGGTTTGTAAACAACTTTAAACATTGACTCTGCAGTAGAAAACAAGTTATCAAAATCAGTAATGTAAGGACACTGGTGTTGACATTATTTAGACAATTCCTCTGCTCTGCAGAAGACCAGGTGAACTGGGTCAGCCACATGTGTCCACCTGTGCTTCACATCTTCATGTAGACCTCCAGCTGTTCAGTCCGTGCATCTGTCCTTTCCCTGTCTGCAAATCCAGTCCCATGGTTCATGTTGGTGGTCTGTATTTGGGTATAACCCATGGAACCTCTCCAGATCCACGTGTGGGCTCTGTACAGAGCTGTTGCCAGCCACAGAGGCTGTTGGTGCCAGGGCATGCAGCAGTGCTCCAAAGCACGTCCCTTGTGCCACTCACAGGTGAGGATTTCCACCTGCCAGGTAATCCAGACACAGTAAAGCACTTGGTAACCTAAGAAACAGGTGAAGCAGCACAATACCACCAGTGCCTGAGGTCTGATCCCTTGTACAGCCTCACAGAGGTGTGAAATGCTGCTCCTGAGGAGCTCTGGCCCAGCAGACATTGCCCTTGGCTTTGCCCCGTGCAGCTCCAGCAGCTGGACCTTTGCCTTTGGTGTTTGCCAGAGTGAGCAGATGTCCCCGGTTCCTCTGCTCAGTGCAGTGCCCAGCAATGGCTCTGTGGTTGTTCTTGTGCTGCAAGGAGGATGGCTGGGTTGGTCTTGCCTGCGTTTCAGGTGGTTGTGGATCTGGGTGAAGGTTTGGCCATTCACTGTGGAGGAAAATGGAATCCCAGGCACTTCAGCTGCTGCCAGCACGGGGAGCAGCAGGACACTGAGGCCAGGGCCTTACACCGCGGTGTTCCGCTGAGCTTGGTAGCTCAGGGGGGCATGGAAAGGCTCTGGAACTCCATGTCTGTCCAAGGTCTCTGAGCTTATTCCTGTTCCTGAGAAAGCTGGAGGATGCCTCAGAGCATGCTCATAAGGAGGTGGCATCTATTGAGGAGAGAGGAAGAGCATTACAGCAGATCAGAACTAACCAGATTATCCCACCTCTTCTTACAGAGCAGATGAAAATGCTCACAACTGCCAGCAGCCTGAAATGAAACCCCCACAGGCCCCCAGCACAGCCAGCTGAAGGCTGGGGAACACCTGGGGATGAGAGCATCAGTCTGGAACATGGCACAAACGTGCTGAGAGACACATTCTCACCTCACACTCCGCCAGGTTCCTGCTCTTCCCTGTTCCCTTTCAAGGACTTGGCAGAAGGCCAGAACAAACTTGACTTTTGTTGGGAGAGGGCTGCATTTGTTTTCCCTTGACTAAATAAAAATGACTAGGATTTACACAAGTACTTACAAACCAGGTGTTGTACCCAGGTTTTGGCAGCAAGTCTCACTGCACAGAGAGGAACCTGAGGCCTTGTCACATTTCTTTTGGCAGAGCTGTGCTAGCTTTCTCCCCACAGGTGACAGGAAGTGGCATGATGATGTTGTGGGAAGAGCTTTCAGTGCTGTTCCTAAACTACTTTGGAGCTTTACTCTCCTATGCCCTCAATGCCCAGGTTTCATAAAATTACAGAATGGTTTGGGGTTGCAAGGGACCTTAAAGATCATCCAGTTCCAACCCCTGCATGGGCAGGGACACCTTCCACTATATCAAGCTGGAACTTTTCAGGCATTAGAAATAGCTCCAAACACTGAGTGGCAAGGGCTAACCATGCCAGGCTTTATGGTACAGCTTTAAGAGCTCAAAATCCAGGTAAATCAGTGAACTTTTAATGCTTTACTCAGGGTTTCAAAAGTTTTTGTCCTGCTTTAGACAATGAGGTCTCTGAATGGGAGCATATCAGGATGCTGCCACAGGACCTACTTGGCAGGATGCATTCACTTTTCCCTCTTACATTGTGGGAGTGCAAATCTTAAATATCGTACCAAGCAAAGCCTCCTGCTCATAAATAAGCCATAAACACTTGAAGGTAATACCAAGGCACGTCCCCAGGAGTGTCCTGCAGGGAGAAGGAAGCAAGAACCCATGAAAGCCTTAAGAGATCCAAAAATAACACTCCCAGCCTGGACTTGTACGGAGCAGGTGATCTGAAGAGCCTGCTGTTTCTGCATGGGGCTTTGCCCTGCCTCCTGGTACAGGCATTTCTGCAAATGCACTGGGGGAGGAGAGATGGATCATTAACCAGCACAGATGTACACCAAAGCAGCCTCCCGATACACTTTGTGCTCTCCCAGAGATAAAAGCTATCGGGAGGGCAATCACAGAGCACAGAGTCCTCAGCTACCACCAACTGTGAGGCAAGACACAGAAATGAACCCCAGTGGCGACTGCCACGGGCTCCTGCCAGCCCCCCACTGCAGGGAGGGGAGCTCACCTCCTGGGATGGCTCTGCCCACAGCCCAAACCTGTCGGCAATCATCTGATGGATTTCCCGCTGGCGATCTTTCTTGCGCACGCTCTCGTAGCTGGGCGGGCGGGGCTGCTCCCAGGACGGCAGCTGGTACGTGCTGGGGGGTCCCACACAGAACAGCTCGTCTCCCTAGAAATGTCCATGCCCAGAAAAGGGTCAGTGTGATGCTGGCTCTCATCACTAGAAGTTTATGTCCTGGTGCAACCTTGAGTTAAGCTGTAGGTACTTGTAGGCTCCTCTGAGCACCCAGAGAGGATGTCCACCCTCGCAGGGGGCAGTTACACCACGACCTGCGCTGCAGGATCCCAAGCCCCCAGGATCTACCACTGGCACTTCATGCCCAAACCCTTCAGAGCACTGTGGTATCCCCTGCAATATTCCTTCCCTCCACATGCTGCCTTACCCTGGGGTTTTTACATGCTGGCAGCACTTCCCAACGTTGTGGGACAGCACCAGAAGATGCTGCCCAGCACCTTTTGCCCCAGGCAAACTCTAACCAGAGTCTCTCTCCAAGCCGGTGAGCAGCATTCCCGCCCAGCTCCCAGCAGGGCCCCTGCCATCACCTGCATGCCCGGGTTCTCAGCAGTGCTCTCCAGCCGTGAGGCTCCGCGCTGGGGTCCCACCAGCTGCTGGCTGCTGCTGAAGTAGGGTGGGGGGCGGTCCTGGAATGAGGAGGACATGAGCACAGCCAAAATCCCTCCCAGCAGAGAGCAGAGCTCAACCACATCTCATGGGACAGCAAGGCCATGGCAGAGTGGCTCCCTCCTGCAGCTCTCAGTGCTGGCAGCAGCCCCTGCCTGTTGAGTGACACCAAGAGCTCCAGGACATGTTCCCTGGCAGCACAGGGCTGGAGCCAGCTGGAGCAGAGCACAGCCAGAGGGACAGTCTGGGCCCCAGGGCACGGTTTCACTGAAAATCAGCGGAACCATCTCTTTTTGGGGTACAACTAAAAATAACCCAACTGTTCTGCTGGTGTAGATAAGAGCTCCATCACATGCTCAGGGTTACTGAATTTGTTAGCTCTTATCTACTGAGCTTGTCATTTCAGGCTAATGCAGCAAGCAAATCTACAGGGCAATAGTTGTGCTGTTCCCAAGCTGTCTTGCTCCAGTTAAACTGGATTCCCTGTCAAGGTATTGAGCAACAGTGAGCAGAAATCCTGTTCACAGAGAACAGCCTCTTGAGCCAGAGCCAGGACTTGAGCCATTGCTTTACCTTGTTCTCAGAAAACCCCATTTCTGCCAGCCCAAAGACTCTCAGGGCAACAAGGGATGTGCAGGGAGGACTACGAGGATTTACTGTTGCTCTTAACAAGCAAGGAGCTGTTTCTCTTGGCCCTACAGCACAACTACAGAAGCTGCAGGAAAACAGCACCCAACTGTTGGTTCAATAACTCATGAGCAAAACCAGTGCAACTATTCCTGCACAAAAGCTGCCTCACACTACAACTGCTTCTCTTTTTCTGAAGGAAATACATTATATGTTCCCTTCCCTTCCATAATTCTTTGCATCCATCCTTCTGCTTTGCTAAAGGCAAGATGCCTGCTTGAAGTTTCCACCTCAGAGCCCAGGGAGATCCCACTCTGCCTCAGAGAGCAGCTCCACAGGGCCAGGGAGCACAGCAGCAGGGCCTGCTCCCAATGTGTGCCACGGGCAGGCAACAGGAGGGAACAGAGGGAAAGGAGCTGAGACATCAGTACAGCCTATTTCCACTGTGATTTCTGGTGGGGCTTCTCAGCCTGTGCTGGACTATTAGATTTGCCCTTCATAGCACTAGTCTCTCGACCCCTTGCTAGTGAGGCTGAATGTCCACTCTTCTCCCAGGGACTGCAAAGTGGTACCTGCAGCCCTTCCCTCAAAAGCCATCCTCGCAGCTCTGGAGGCTGAGCTTTCCCCAGGCAGTCACTGCCACAAAAGCAACACTGGCTACACACGCTGCTCTTTTTCCATCAGCTTCCCTAGTTGAAAGCAGCCCTAGGAAATTACAGATGCGAGCAAAAGGGCTTTGTGTCTCACTGCTCCTTCCCCAGGAGCTGTGCACAAGAGAGCCAGTTGTCAGGGATGCGGGTGGCTTTGTCTGCCTTTGCCCTCAGCTTCCAGCTCCCTTCCCTGCTGGGCCCCTTCCTATAAAGCACAGCCCGACCCCACACACAACTATGCAGGGGGAGGAGAACCTCCCTCCCGAGCTGTGTGGAGAGCAGGGAAGCCTTTTAGTGTTGGGCCTTGGAGAGAGAACCACAATGGCACAGCCAGGCAGGACTGGGTGGGTGAATGGATGGATGGAGTGGGAGCAAGGAGATGGCAGAGCCCAGCTCTGCCTGGAGGACCCACACCCATCAACAATCCCAGCCAGGCTGCAGGACAGTAACCTGGGGTGCAGCCCCACAGACCCAGCACAAGGCAACAGGAGCTTGGGGACAGAGGGGGACTTGTGGGCAGGAGGAAGAGAGGAAGGACTCGGAGGACACTCACATACTGGCTGGGGGTCTGGAAAAGGCGGCAGGAGCAGAGGAATTGGCAGCACATGGGGTCCCGGTGGTACAAGAGCAGCAGCAGGATGAGGATCGCCACAATGAAAACGGAGGTGGACACCGCTGCCAAGAGACGGGAGAGGCGAGAGAGCCGGTGTTTCGACGGGCCCCGGGCCTCCTCCTGCCGCCCGCCTTCGCCCCGCGGCTGACGCTCGGAGAAGCCCCTGAGAAGCCGATTCCACCTGCTGCCCGTCTCAAGAGCGCTAAAGCCCCTTTCTGCCCAGCATCTCTCTCCCTACCAGACGGTGAACGACCTGCAGAGCAGGAGGGGCTCACCCCATGCTGGACCGCCCGGCGGGGCCCCGCACCGGCACCCACCGCCTCTGGCCCGGCGCTCTCGGCTCCCTCAGCACCACGGCCGGGCGCCGGTTCGCCGGCGTTGCGGTCTCCCGGGAGCCCGCGGCTCCCCCCGGCCCAGCCGCGGATCCGCGGAGCCCACCCGCCCCGGCAGACAGCGGGACCCCCCGGGTTAGGAGCGGCTGCTGCAGCGACCTCTCCCCCGCCCGTCCGCAGGTATCGCCTTATCGGCACAGCCCGGGAGGCACCGGCAGAGGCCGATCCCGCCCGGCGGCCGCCCCCGCTTCGCTCCCGGCACCGCCGGAGCCCCCGCCCGCCACTCACTGGCGGCGATGACGATGGCCAGGACGTTGTTGTCCATGCTGGCGCTGGCGGTCGCGGTGTGACCCGAGGCCTCCGCGGGCTGCGCCATCCCGACCCCGCCGCCAGCCCCTGCCCGCCGCCCGCGCTCCGCGAGGGGCGGGCCGGGGCGGGGCCCGAGCGAGCGCGTTCGGCCGCGGCGCTCCCGGGGCTCCCCCTTCGGACTCGCATCGGGGCCAGCCCGGCTCAGCCGCGGCGCCCCGGCCTCGTGGCGCGGTTCGCAGAGTGCCGCGGTGCCGGCCGAGCGGCAGCCAGGCCGCGGGTCACTGCCGGCATCGGCGCTGCCCCGCTCCTGCAGAGGGAAAGCTGGCCTGTGCCGCGGAGGCGCCTGGCCCCGCAGGCAGCAGGACGTGCCCGCTCATTAGCCGATTAACACCTTAATTAAGCGCCATGTACACGCTAAGGATCTGGTACCTTCAGGGCAGCCGCTGCCAGGGTGTAACCGGACTCAGCCTGTGGCTCCGGGCCACTCCCGAGCTCTCACTCTCCAACCACAGGTTTTGAAAATCCCAAGCTTGATTTTGGGTTACTCATCACCCATCTGAGGAAGGCGACCCTGCACGGCCGACCTTCCCCCTCCCATTCCATAACACCACAAAAACCCGACACACCAAACTGTAGAGATAGAGATGTATTTGCGGTGATGTTGCATATTTAAGACAACTTTATATAATGGTTCTGACACAGAGTTTTGGCATCTTCCAGTGTGTGGCCCTTCTCCCCCCACATTCCTCCACTGCCCCAAAGCACCCCAGGCAGAAGTGGGTGCAGGACAGGGGGGCTGAGTGCCAGCAGGTACCTGCCCTCACACACAGAGGTCTCAGTCCCCTCCGTTTCACAGTACACATCTTGCAACACCCACATCCTTAAAATTGTAGACTGGGAGTGTCAGACCTGCTGGGCGGAGAGAGCTGGGACATGGGAGAAAAGTTAGGATGGCACAGATCCATGGAGACAAAAAAACCCCACCAGCTCCTGAGACCCGGCTTGGAGCAGAGTTGGGCCAGATGGGCTCCAAATTGTCCCCAGCTGTGAAGTGTCTTCGAAGGATGAAACAAAACCAAGACTTCTCCAGGCAGCATAAGTCTTGGAGAGAAGAATGATAGAGGCAGTTCCCAAGGACATCCTGGGGGCACTGCAGGGAAGGGGGAGGCTTCACTGCAACCCTTCCCCAGAGGAGGTGGCGCCTTTTCCCTCTGGAGCAATGGGAAGCAGAAACAGCGGAGGGAGGATGGGGCTGGCCAGACCTCGTCTCGCCGCTTTGCATTTTGCCCAGGGAAGCACAGCAGGTCCCAAAAGCTTCTGCCGACGTGAGAGAAAAGAAAATGTTGGGTCAAGGAGCTGTGGCACAGGGCAGCCCTCCAGGCACCGCTCATCTGCAGCAGGACACGGGCCCTGTGGATGCTATTTTGGCAGGGGATCAGGGCGTCCTTCTGCTGAAGTGGAGACAGAAGTGGCAGGGTCTACAGCGCAGCTTGTTGGGCCTGACCCACACACTGAGCACTCCTCACTCACTGTTGCACAACATATCAGGGCTCCAGACATTTGGCATAGTTGGGCAGCTACCCCACAATCTGGGGGCAACCCTGCCCCAAGGCCAACAGGTTACAGGTCCCCAGCAGCCCTCGGCAGGAAATGGGCAAACAGCAAAACAACAACAATAATAATAAAATAATAAAAAAGGATGTAAACGACCCAGCACCCTGTCCTGTAGCACCAGGACACCCAAGGGAACAAGGTATGTTACAGTCTCAGGGGAAATGGAGACACAGGGACTTCCCGGCCAATGCGGGGTCTCGTCTCTATTGCACTTTTGCATCATATATATTTCTATATATATATTTATAAAAATACAAACTAAAGGGCTGGGGTGGAAAGGATGAGATGTAAACCCTAAGCCAGCAGCAGCTCCGTGCACATGGCAGGTTTTGACTCATTCTGCTTCTGCCTATCCCCAGTCCCTCATCAGCCCACCAGGGCAGCAGTCAGCAACAAGGGCCCATCCTGCCAAGTTCTAGTCTGGGGTGGGCAGGATGCTGAGCTGGTCAAGAGCCTGCCCACTCACCAGCCATCCCTCCCTCCCTCCCACATCACCCTTTCCTGAAGCTCCAAGGTCTGGAGAAACACACAGCTTTGTCCAGGTGCCTGCCATGCCCCCACAGGGATGGGCACTCCAGCACGCTCTCCCTGGCCAGCAAAGGCTCATTCCCACAGAGATGGGCAAGACGCACCTCATGCCTCTCTGCCCAAAATATCCCACAGGAGAAGGTTTTCCCCTGCCTGGATGTTCCCATTTTCTCTTCCTTGAGTGACTACGGTGCAAATGGCACAGGGTGATGTGGTCCAGAGACACCCCCCAGATCAGAAACGGAGGATGCTCCCTGCTCCCAAGGCTGCCCTCTGGCTGCTCCTGCTACCTCAGCCGCCCGTCAGGTTTGACAGGCCCCAGTTCCGATTTGGGGTCTGGGGAGAGGGAGCTCCACGAGGTTTTGCTGCAGGTCTCCAGGGGAGCGCAGGCAGAGGGGCTGCTGACACAGACATTCGCTGCAGACCAAAAGGTGCCGACGGCAGCGTCCGCCCAGTCCTCCAGCTCCCTGCCCGTCAGCCGCGCCTTCTGCGCCGCATCCTCCTCCGCCGCCTCGGAGCGCGGCAGGCTGAGGATCCCGCTCAGGCCCTGGAAGTTCTGGTCCATGTACTCATTGTGTGGGGGGCCACCATGCAGCCAGCTGCTGTCGTCTGGGAAGGAAAGGGAGAGAAAAGAGAGGGGATGAGCAGTGCAGCAACATTCTGGCACCCTGCAGGTCCTACCCCCAACTCCAGCTGGGGCACAGCACCCCATTCCTTTGCAACCCCAGCTCCCGTCCAGCACAAGGAAAAGGACGCTGCTGCAGGAAGGATCTCACTGACATGGGCCAACGGGCTCTCCACAGCTGCCAAGAGGATAGCTCAGTCTAAGGATTCACATGGGCAAGGGGCACCAGTACAAAACTGGCTCCAGCCTGGTCATCAGCTGCAGCCCAGGGGCCAACACAGCGGGGAAGCACTTTGGACTGCCCACAGGGACACCCTCTCATCCAGCCCCAAACTCCAGAGCATCCTCACCTTTCCTGAGAGGCTGCTTGCTGTTGAAGGTCTGAGGCACCACCAGGAACTGGTTCTCCCCCAGAGGCTCCCAGAACTGGAGGAGGCGGATGGTCCAGACACCAGGGCGCAGGGGATGGTTGAGGGGGGGCTTGTACTGGGTGAACTCTGCCTCAGCATCCACCGTGATGTCGTAGGAGGCGGCAATGACGTAGGTGGGGTCAATCCACACCACCGTGGCCGTCAAGTTGGGGCCCCGTGACCATTTCTGCATGGCCACCGGCTCATCAAAGGGCCCCATCAAGCCTCCAAAATTGCGGAAGAGTCTTTCCTTGGGGTCCCACTCTGTGCCCACCTGGAGGGACAGGAAGCACAAGCAGTGGGACACTGGGCAAGGAGACACTATCAGCTGAGGTTCTGTGTCTGACCTCCCCAAAACAGAGAACACATAAACGTTGGCGTCCAAAGCAATGGACACTCCACGGATCATGTGCCAGCACCAATTCAGCTGTGCAAGGCCTCCTGCAGCTGCAGGCACTGGATCTCACCTGCCTCTGAAAGATCCCCTGAAGGCCTACTCAGCAACAATCAGCTCCTCACAAATAAACCAAACTCCCAGATAAAGGTTTCTTTTCAGAAACAATAGCAGCTCTGTGTCCTTCTGTCCCCATTGCACGCAGGTGGGGCAGAGGAGGAATGGCAGCACAGTGTGGGAGAGCCAGGGAGAAAAGTGCCACACGTACCTCTAGGTTTTGCAAGCGGTTTGCCTGCCCTCCATGACCGGACAGCTTCAGAGCTCCTTGGGGCATCATCCACATCTCCAAGGATTCAGTCTGCCCAGTCGCCAAATTTTGCACTTCCTGCATCACCAGGTAACCCTGGAAACGGTCGTCATAGAAATATAAGTGCACACTGGAGGGGAATCCTCGAGGCTCAAACCTGGAGAGACACACAGACAGGTTGCACATCTGAGCATAAGCATACTTCCAGCACAAGATAAAGGTCTCCATTTGGAGCCTGGGTTGAGACCACAGAAAATCCCCTACCTGCAGAGCTTGTCAGCCTTGGCTGCCGGCGTGGAAGAGGCTTTGCGGAGGCCCAGCCTGGAGAAGGCTGTATAGAAGGTGAGGGTGACATCGGTGAGGCCGCCGAGCCCATCCACGCGGTCGTAGACGTTTTCCCAGTAGGCCTTGAGGGCCGGGGTGTTGGCGGGGTAGCTGCCGTAGAGGTGCGTGTCCAGGATCTCCAGCACCTCCTGATTCACCGTCGACTCAAACTTGCGGGCAAAGAAGGTGGGTCTGGAGAGTTGCTAGAAGAGCACAGGCATTTCTAAAAATGTTGAGGGCACCCACTCTGCCCTCCCACTCCAGCAGGATCCATCCTACCCACTTTGAAGGCACAGGCTAAGGAGCAGCACAGCACAGCCAGCCTGAATGTGGGATCCTCTATGACACCAACAGTTACTGGGAATGCAGATGGGTGCTCATCTCTCCCACCACCTTCCCCTTTCTGTGCCCACAACTAGCCATGTGTCATCCAGCTCCTTTGCTGCAATCTTTACTCTGATAAGCCCCCACCCACCAGAGCCACTGCTGAGCCCTGCATTAGCTCTGGCCAAGTGGCACAGCCTGCAGGAACAGTGTCTTGGGCTCTGCAAGCCTGGAACTGCTGGAAAATCCTGCCACAACTGCTCTTTTCAGGGCTGGCTCTATCTGCCCCAAGCCTCCTGTGTTCAGTCCACATCCCCACACACTGAGAGCATGGGAGACATTTCGTTACAAGGCATTTTGACCTGCCAAAGAAACAGCACTCTGAATGGGCTTTACTATAAAGGCATTTCCCTCAAGTGATACATTTGCAGGGAAAGAGCAGGAAAACAGGAGAGAAAGTCTAGGAATAGGAGCAATGCTGCAAGCAGAACCCTGGCTGCAGGGCAGGACAAGTCAGGATAATCAGGATACCTACTGCCTGTTTACAGACACATCTAC